CCCAGCCTTCTCTTGTGGAGGCGGAACAGGTTCAGATCCCTGAGCCTCTCCTTGTAGGGCCTGCCCTGCTGCCCCTGATCAAGTTTTGCCTGCCTCCTTAAGAGGTTTAAGCAGGCTGTGGAGCTGCCGGCAGGTGCGGCTAGGCCCAATTAGGCAGTTGCATGACCGCTAGGGTGCCACATGATTGGATGAAGGCTGGGCAGACAGGGTATAAGCCCAGGCCCTAGAAGCAGAGCTGTCAGTTACATGAAGGGAGCCAATGGAGCAGCATCACAGCCTGAGGTGAGCATCTCCCAGAATACCTGGAGGTCAGGGTAGGACCTATAAGGATGGAAGAAGTTCCTGGTCCTGGGTAACACCCGAAGGGCTGCATGGAGTAGGGCAGAATGAGTGAGACCCAGTGAAGGGTGGAATGGGTAAGGCCCAGGAGTGGGTTGAGTGATTGAGGCCCTGCAAAGGGCAGAGTGTTAGATGCCCAGCAAGGGGCAGAGTTCAACGCAGCAACGGCAGGAGTTGTCCGCTGTTTAGATGCCGTTTGTGAGGCATGGGACATGGTATACGGGTGGTTCGGAGCTGTGTACTTGGCCCACTACACCAGGGCTGCAATTATGGCAACCTCCCACATTTAACAACCATTATGGTAACATCAAAGGTGAGGCAGGATAGACTGCCCTAGGCAGGGGGCAAGCCAATGACGTGAGTGGCTTGAGGGTGGAGCTTGTAGTTACCCCCTTGTCACAGTGTGACTGTGCTATCCTCTCTTATGGGATCTGTCCCTAGCTATTACTATTTCATATTGTTAATCATATGCTGTATGAAGCTGCAGGTAAGTTATATTTAAAAATGCTCATCCATTTTATATTGTCAGTGTAATATAAGCTGCTTAAACCTTTACTTTTTTTTTAAACTTATTCATAAACTTGTTGGCAGGCCAACTTCAATGCACACTCGTGTAAGCTATCGCTGTTTTATTCATTCTTTCTAGAAGATACTAATTCCTTTACACCCATATTCCATGTGGTCTTGAAATTAACCCACAAAACAAAGATTATGCTGTCCCTTGGCCATCGAGGATCATACTTTTATTGCATTTGTTTTTTATTTTTCTTTAAAGAATAAAATCTAAAATGGCTCAAGGTTTTATCTGGTGTCACTAAATTTTGTTGTTCGTAGTTATTTACAAAATGACAATCACTTGTTTGTTGTTCCTTGCAAAATTAAAACAGCATTAATAAATCAACAAGACACTATGGCATGAGGAATATATATTAATATGGTTTTTTGTTACTGTTTTACTACCATGAAGCATCATTTAATACAACCCCGAATTGCTTTTCTGTTCTCAGAAGACTTTCTGGAGCTTGATGAATAAACTTCTAAATAATCTTCTTGAAAGATCCAGTAGTACAGAAGAGAGGCTTGGTTTTGAGTCACTTCAGTGCAAAGATCCATTAAGTTTTAGCTGGTGGATTATTACTCATCTGGCATCACTTTACCAGTTTGACCGTAATGGGTATCTAGAGGAAAAGGTAAGCTTGCTCTTTCTGAATATGCTAATATTTTAATTTGTTAATAATTTATTTAATCTTCTAATTTTGAGTAGGTTTTGACTGCGGTGATTGCAAGATGGTGGTGATTATCCCCGTGGAATTTTTTTGTCTGTGTTTAGAAAGGTTTTTTATTTTTGTGGGTTTTTTTAAAAAAGGTTGTGCATTTAAGTTTATACTGTGCAGTGTTTACTATCTGTTTATTCCATGAGCAGTAAGTATTATATGCAAAACATGTTCAGTAGGTAACCTAAGTAGGGAAACCAGAAATCCTACTAGTTAGCATATATACTTAATGTTGTAGCATAATGTTTTAAGATAGTCTGCCTGTGGCATTGCTGCTTTGTTGAGTTCACTGTTTTTAGCAACTGAACATATTAGACTATCCGTGTTGGACTTTGTCTTCACGTAGGTTTACTGTTTTTCAGATGAGGTATGTACAGCTAGTGCTTCTGGTTTACACTTGTTAATGCCACTGTGGTGTTTTGGCTACATTCCTGGCTGGCATAACACATTCTGTCTACATAATATTTCTGGCATTTTCAGTTGCATGTATTTTTTGTTTAATTTCTGATTCTAGACTGTTATGGATGGATGTGTACTGTTAAATAAATGCTATACTGAGGGTATTTTTAGTGGTGGGTCGTGTGATTTATGTATTTTTTTTCTATATATAGTTTATCCTGTATGTAAGTCAATCTTGCATTTTCAGGTTCAATTTTAGGGAAAACTTTTTTTTTTCTATAAATATAAGTTAATAACTACAGATAAAGACTTTGAACTGCTATTGCCTTTATGAAACCCTAGGAAAATCAAAGAACCAAGAAAAGGACCCAGAGTTAAATGTACTAAAAATACTAAAATAAAAACTGCACTGAAAAGAAAAAATATGAATTAGTATTTGCATTGCATTCCCAAAAATACTACAAATACAAAAGTCAAAGCTATAGGAAGTCCAGTTATATATTGACCTTGCATAAGTTGGCTGTCATATTTCTGGCTTTTTTGGTGGAGAAAAAAAGTAGAGTCCTAGTTAGAAAAATCTAGTCTAGGTGTGGCTGGCAGTATTGCTTGTTGTTAGAATGGGTAATGCCAAGCAACTTCAAGTTTTTTCCCCCCCCCAAATAATTACACCATATTAAAATACGTGCTTCACCAAACACTCTGAATTGTTTCAGGGGGAAAATGTACATTGTTTTACTGTGTTCAAAAAATATTCTGGCAACCTTTTCTCTGCCTCTTTTGCTCCCATTTTTGGAGATAGGGGTTTGAAATTTCTCAGGATGAATGTGAAGGTATGTGTAAAAATGTTGTCTTTTTCCTGTCTAAGTGAAAATGTGTTTTATATTATATACTCTATTCACTGAATATTTAAACCATTCTTGGTGCACAACTGAAATCCTGATCTCTTCTCTCCCAGGTGGATGGATGTCTAGATTACTAGGTTACAGTGTTGTGCCTCTTTTTTCTCTGAGGCCTAATGAATCTTGAATTCTTTTATTTTTTGTATAGTGTGGTACAGCTTTACCAGGAAGAGTAAAGAGTGTTTTTTCTCTCAGCCTATCCTACACCTTGGTGGGCAGGGTACTGTTTTGGGAGGTAGAAGATGTGGGTTTCAGTGTCACCAGGCACATGAGGGCCCAGTGCCTATGTCTCTCACTCACCAATTTTTATAGCCACGTTGTGTAAAAGTAGGGCACTGCTGCTGCTAGCTCTAGTTTCAGAAGGATGGCTATCACCAAGTAACTCCAAAAAGGCTTCCAAGTTGCGAGTCCCAGCCTGATAGTTGCCTTCCTACAGTCCAGAATTAGGTCCCTAAGATGCAAAAGGGGTAGAATTTATGAGGTTCCACTCTTTTTAATCTTAATATGTTGGCTTGATTAGCATGCTGGCTGTTGTGAATCCTAGTCTCGTGTGTCTAATTCTCCCCATGAATTGTAACCCACCATATATACCTAATGTATGGCCAGGGATTCCAGTTACAGAGCCAGGCACCTTAGGTGTGGCACTGCTCGCTGTTGGCTCAGCTAAGTCCTTTTATGGATCTAGGTCTATATGTCTGTTATGGATCCAGGTTGAGCTATAGCTTTTTACCCTGTCTTCAGTTTTTTCTAGTGTGCATCCTTTTAAGTGACAGGCCTATATCTGTCCCTCTCTTGGGATGGAACCCCACGATTTACCCTACTTTAGACTGAATCTCCAGTTTACAGAAGCCCCCATGTCACCTACCATGTGTCTGCAGCAAGTCCAACTTATTGTTGGTCCAAGTTCCTGTGACAAACTGTAGTCAGTATGAAAATGCAGTGATACAGAATCATAGAAAATTAGGGTTGGAAGGGACCTAAGGAGGTCATCTAGTCCAAACGCCTGCTCAGAACAGGACTACCCCCAACTAGATCATTCCAGCCAGGGTTTTGTCAAGCCAGGCATTTAGCAACCTCCACAGATGGCAATTCCACAACCTCTTTGGGTAGCCTGTTTCAGTCTAGCTCCATCCTCTTTTGAACCACCCTTCAGGTAGTTAAAGGTTGCTATCAAATACCCACTCAGTCTTCTCTTCTTTAGACTAAACAAGCCCAGTTCCTTGAGTCTCTCCTTAAGTCATGTTCCCTAGCTCCCTAACCATTTTCACTGCGCTGCACTGGACTCCCTCCAATTTGTCCACATCCTTTCTGTAGTGGGGGGCCCAAAACTGGACACAGTACTCCAGATGTGGCCTCACCAGTGCAGAATAGAGGGTAATAATTACTGCCCTCAGTCTGCTGGCAATGCTCCTACTAATGCAATCTAGTATACTGTTTAGCCTTCTTGGCTCATATCCACTTGGTTATCCACTGTAACCCCCAGGTCCTTTTCTGCAGAGCTGCTGCTTAGCCAGTTGGTCCCAAGCCTGTAGTAGTGCATGGAATTCTTCTGTCCGAAGTGCAGGACTTTGCATTTGACCTTATTGAACCTCATGAGATTTGTTTTGGCTCAGTCCTGCAATTTGTAGGGGTGCATCGATAAAGATGTTCTTGGCTGATACCAATGGCCGATTATTAACTAGCCATATTGGTTGATACCGATCCGATAGCTGATTTACAGGAATGCAGCCTGACACCTTGGGAGAACAGCATCTGGCCAGTAAGTCTATGTAGGGGGGGAAGGGTCAGGGGGGAGGGATAGGGCATGGTGGGGGCAGATCAAGGCTCCCATGGTGAGGGAGGGAGTGGGGCAGGGGCAGGGCGCTGCCCAGTGAGGACAGTAAATGCAATCCTGGGAGTGGGACTGAGCACAGCCCCAGCCCAGCCCCCTCACTGGGAAGAGACTGGCACAGCGCCTGGCCCTGAGACCTCAGTGGACAGCCTGCCCTCACCCCGTACACAACTCTAGGGAGAGTGGGGGGAAGCGCATGCCCCCCATGCTTCCCCTGGGGGGTTCATGCAGCAGCGGGGAGCTGCCCCCCTCCCCACCCGCACACGGCTCCGGATGAGCAGCCTGCAGCTCTGTCCTGCTCCCAGGGTCACATTCACCACCCTGGCTGGGCAGTGCCTTCCCCTACCCCACTCCTTCCCTCACCGTGGCGGCCTCAATCTGCCCCCCACCTCCCCTATCAGAATTGGGGCCTGTAATCCAGAAACCTCTGCTAGTTGCCTGGAGAAAGCTTCATCTACCTCATCCTCCTGGTCTGGTAGTCTGTAGAAGATCCCCACCATGACACCACACTTGTTGCTTTCCCCTCTAACCTTAACCCAGAGACTCTCAACAGGCCTATCTCCAGCTTCTACTGGCGCTCTGAGCAGTCATATGGCTCTTTTACATACAGTGCAACTCCTCCTCTTCTCCCTTGCTTGTCTTTCCTGAACAGTTTGTATTCATCTATGACAGTACTCTGGTCATGTAAGCTATCCCACCAAGTCTCTCTTATTCCATGTCATAGTTCCTTGACTGTGTAAGGACTTCCAATTCTTCCTGCTTGGTTCCCAGGCTCTGTGTGTTCGTGTACAGACAATATGGAACAAAACAAAACAAAATATAAGAACATAGCAGGCCTGGAAAGGGTTAAATACCAAAAGTTTTATATTTTTATTATCTTCCTTAAATCTTAGTTCCTCTTTGCACACTTTTTTTTTTTTTTTGCTTTTCGTTATACCTCCTCCTACTTGTGTTGTCACCCTACAAAGTACCTGCACGCCCTACAGCTTTGTCTTCTATTTGACTTTCAGACAATGTCTCTCCTAAGAGGCAATCTGTTTATCCATTTCAAAGCTCTTGTTGGTTCAGAGCCTGATAAATGCAGCTTCGGTATCATGCTAATAGAATGTGAGACAGGCTTCACTGTGTTGTGCAACTTAGTCACTGTGCCACTGGCCTCCTGGGTGACCTTGAATAAGTCATTTTATATTTTCAGGCCTCAGTTTCCCCAGTCATAAAGTGGGGATAATGATATTGATCCACTTTGTAATGTGCTTTGAGATCTGTTGAAGAAAAGCACTGGGTAAGAGTGTATTAGTATTATTGTCCCTTAAGTAGTAGTCACTGATTTAGTTAATTGTCTGCTTTCTTGAGGGGTAAGCCACAAGATTAAGTTAACACTTAGTGTTAGATACATGATATTAATCTAATAGATGGAGCTACATGCAGTATTTATGAAAAAACAAAAATCATCTATCAATCTTTACATTGGTCCTGAAATTAAAAGCAATATCACAAGGCATAGCCAGAGGGAGCCTGAAATAAATTTTCTTAGGCATTTTCGAGTTTGGCATTTCCTAACTTTTCAGTTCTTGAATTTCCAACCATAATAATATTTCTTACAAAGTTTTTGTGTGTGTTCTACTGTGTGTATGCATATGAATAAGTTTTTCCATAATAAAAGTAATAGGTTAATTTAACACATTTACTAAATCATGTCAGTTGAGTGGAAGTCTCAAGGAAAATGTTAACACAACTTAAAGACTTTAAGGGCATGGGTATACTGTTAACTTGCCATGTCAGGTAGC